AAGAACAGTACTGCTATTAACTAATAAGTTTCTGATCTAAAAAGCAATGATGAAGGCTGATTGGGTCATCTGTGGAAGGGAACATGAGTTCAGAAGAACACAGGTTCCCTACAGAGGATAAAAGGAAAGAGGGAAAGATGCCATTATATCCATGCAAAAGCTCAGGATGGTTGTGGTTTATTCACAAAGCATGTGAGGGCAGTAAATTCCCAATTAATGCTTGTCTGTCCCTCACACATGTTTGTATGCACAGGTACAGCTGTCCTGTGGGAAACTCCAGAATTGCTGCAAATTTCTCACTTGCCTTGTATTACAGAACGTTGGAAAATTCAAAACACACAGAAACTTGCCTTTGTCACAGTTTATTAGACCCAGCACGAGCCTGCCTGGGCCCCAACAGTTTCCCAACACCATGGCATCCCACAGTGGTCTGGGAAGGTCTTAAGGATCAGGGGCAGAGCAGCAAGGGAGGGAGACAGGCACTGGCCTCTCCCCACTGCATTGCCCTGCACCAGCACAGCCCTGCAGGATCAGTGCAAATCCTCCAGGTTTGAAGTTCATCCATTCTCTCTTGAGAAATTCTTCTAATTTTAGAAGTGAAGCACAACAAAACCAGGAAGAAGAAAGAAAAAAAAAAAAAGAAAAACAAACAAAAGAAAACATCTCGGTGCTGAAAATGACCCAATGTCAACTTCAGATTTGGAAACTGATTCATCTGCCAGCTCATAGGCACACACACCTAGTGTGTCTATATTTATATGCATGGACTTGGGCTCCCTGCTCTGTAGAGGCACTGAGTATTTTTAAATCAGCAAGAAATCAAGAATCACTGCACTTGGAGAAGATGGAAAAATTCCCCTTTCTCTAAGCTGAGATTAGAGGGATCCTGACGCAGCAGCTCTGCCTGCAGCATCCAGCAAGGCTGAGAGCCAGCACGGACACACAATTTGCTCTGAGATTCCTTCCCTTAACAGGCCACTGCTCACTCCTGTAGACAGACTATTTTGCATTGGAGTCTGACCCAGCAGATGAGATGAGATGAGAAGCCTCTGTGTCAGGACACAAATCTGGAGAGCATTCTGACCGTGTGAAAGATGGCAGAGAGAAGCCAGTACTGCCAGAGAGCTGTGCTGCTGCCCCTTCCTGCTGCCTCACTGGGCTGGGAATTCAAAGCCCCAGGTTCACTGCCCAGCTTTACCCATAACCCACAGTGGTCTCACCAAAGATTGCCAAACTCACTCAGCATCCCCTTCTGGAAAATGGGGATAACTTGTCTCAGCAGCATCACAAAGGTTTGTTAATGCTTGTAAGCACTTTGTAGATAAGGAACATCAAGACAGCAGTTAGCAGAGGGATTTGGGGCACAGACAGACATAAATCCAAAGCACTCATGTAGTACACTTTTTAGACAAGCACAGCAGCAGATCAGCTCCCTGCATTTAGTGGTTGTGGGCTCCATCCTCTCAACAGACTGAGCACTCTGTCTTTGATCCAAAAAATGAGTCTGTGGAGAATATTCACATGTTTAATGTTAATCATATGCTTAAATCCTCTGAATCTATAAAGAGGGTAAAGGAGAAAAGTGTTCCCTAGCTCCAAAACAAACACACATTCCCAGAAGTTATATTTAGGACATGAGCAAACATTTGACCAGCAAAGGCCTTCACTATACACCTGCTAAGCTTCTGCATCCCTGAGGAAACCTGCAGGTGGGGAAAGTGTCCAGAGGGAGTCTGCTTAGACAAAACCTCTCAAACAGAACCAACATGGTGCTATGTGATAGAATCAACCCAGAGCAAGTGAACTACTACTCCACAAGTGGAGCAGCTCTTGAGCAAGGAGATCAGAAACCAGAATAAATGAACTTAGGAACTCAGCACACGGATTTGAACTTACGAGTCTGGATTCATTTGCAACTAATAATTCCCACATTTATTAACTATCTGTTGTGAGGGAAGAGGTCTTCCTCCGAGGACACTGCCACCCAGTCCTCCCAAATTCCATGTGCCACTGGCAGCACCTAGAAAGCATCTTCTCCTAACTGTGCATCAGAGAGGAACAATACTAAGCAAAAGGCATTGGATTCCCCTTAAAGCCTTGTTCATTTTCAGCACTGGCTGCTCCCTCTCTCATCTTTACTCTCTGAAACATCTAACTCAATTTACATCCTGCTAAACTCCTGGCCAAGCGAATGGCTTGGGGCTACTAAGCCAGCTGGCCAGAGTGCCCATAAACCTCTGCTCTTGCATCAACCCTCCTTTATTCAGATCCTTTCCTGCAGATGGATCAAGGCAGTGGAGCGAGGGCACAACTCCTTTTGCACAGGTTTGCTCAGCAGGGCAAGAGCAGGTACCTGCAGCACGAGGATGCACCGAGCTCCAGACGCTCCTGCAGAGCGAAGCGCTCCCAGCTACATCCACGGCTGCAGAGTGGACACAGCCCTGGCCAGACGAGCATCTGCAGCATAAACATACAACTGGCGTCCAGAGATGATTTTCAAGGCCCTGTCAAACAGGAAAAGCCTCAGGCAACCAAAGGACCACTATCCAGAGCTTCGCTGCTATAGCAGATCCGTAAACATTATCCAGCTTACTCACAGCAACATCACGTTTTGCCAGCAATGTGAAAAGGACAAAAATCACTCTCTCACCAGCATAAATTGCCCAAGATGCTAAATAAGGCTGCTAATTGCTTCTGAGGATTTTTAAAGAATCCTTTAAGATTATTGTCCTCAAATTTGATTAAATAATGCTATAAATCCTTTCAACTGAACATCATTAGATGAAGTTGCCTTGATGGTATAAAAGAAACGTGTTCTCCTCAAGCAATGGCTTTCTGAGAAGGGTGCTGTATTTTTACAGTACACAGCACTAAACCAGAGGGAGCTGTTCCAGTTGCACCTTGCAAAGGGTGCTTATCTTCCTTGTTTGGCTCAATTAGAACTACACAAAATGCCAATGTATTTCTACCTTCACCTGCCCTAAACCAAGAACCACAAGGGATGGAATCACATTGCTGGGTGAGGCTGTAAGAAGTCCAAGGGAAGTTAACACAGCACTAGAAATGCTGGTTATGTTTCTCTACCTCCTTTGCAAGACACTTCGCTGTTCCAAGCTTTGTAGCTACTGCAGAACAACATGAAGTTCATTGCTGTTGCAGCTCATCAGCATGACCTGGCAAAACCCACCACTGGGGAAACCCTCTGGAGAGGACTGAAAGCCCCAGATGACACTTCCATGACTTTATCAACAGTTCCACAGAGGAAGAACCACTGTTTCTTATGATAGGGTAAGGTACAAGGCATAACTTCTCAGAGAATCTCTCACAATAAGCTAAGACCTCTCAGACATCTCTGCTGCCTTGGTGTCATTTGGTGCCTCCATTAATACCACCCAGGAGGTCACACTTCATTACCAGGCACTCTTCCCTGGCTAGACCCTTGACTCTCCCTTAGCTCTACCAGTTCTTTGTTGGAATATATAAAGAGCCAGAGGGTAACAAAGGAATGCTCTGCCACCCTCACCCCTTAACCCAGTCGCCCTTCCCCACTCCACACAGGCAGCCCACTCCTTCTCCCATCCCTGACAAAACAGATGAGATTAAAGGAGTCCTGGAAAGCAGAGCACCAGCAGGATGCATCTTTCAGTGCTGAAAAGGGCAGACACACCTTCAGGCACGAGGTGCTCCTGGCTGCACCACAGAGCACAGGTATTCCACATCCAGGACTGCTGGAATACACCTTTTACACTACACTGGCTTGGGAATGATAATTAAGTCCCAGACTAATTTCTTTCTGATCGACAGCTCTAACTCCTGAGAGACTCCCATTAAGTCAATTCCCAATGCCTTAAATAAGGAGCCCATGAAGCTACTAAAACAATGACAGTCTTTTTATCCGGGAAATAGCTGTCTAGGAAATTTCTCCTGTGCAATGTAAGTGTCAGTATCATCATAAGATCTGCCATCACCACCCTACTCCGTTCAGGCAGGGACCATCAAGTCTAGAGAATACAATCCAAGCACAAATGGTCCCTCCTCTTCACTCCTCTTTTTCCCCTCATCTCCCAGTGTTTCATCCTGTGCCAGAGGGATCAGTGCCCAGTGTGGGTCCTCACAAAAGCCACTGAAACGCCCCAGGCTATACGATGTCACCCAGGAATACCGTGGGTATTAAAGCCACCACTGAGGGACGAGGTCTGTGCAGCTGCTCCCCTGTCCTATTAATTGGCTACTATGGACACGCTCCCGCCGTAAGCACATCTTTGACATAACATAGCATGACAATTTCTTCAGAGTCACAGAAATGCAGAGCATACAAATAAACCTGAATGCTGAAACCATTTCATTGTTCGTAAGAATATGCACGTTGCACCTGTTACGACCAAGGGCTCTGTCTGAGCCTTCGCAGCTGATTATTTCAGCCTCCAACAAGCCTGTCTTGGAGGGCTGTTAAATTCCAGGAGTAAATAGAGCAACAGCAAAATTATTTTACAACAAGAAATCATTACCGAATATACACACAGAGAGGTCTTTAAATCCCAGGCAAAGAAAACAACCCTCAAACTGACATTTTTCCCCCGGAGCTTCTCACAACCGCTGAGTCAGTTTAAATTAAATTTGGCTGAAACAAAATAACTCCGAGACTGATGCTCGTAAAGTCCTACCCTGAAAACAAATGTTCGGCAGCCCAACTGCACGGGGGACTCCGGATGGAGCGGGAGGCAGGACGCTGGCGCGGCACAACCCGGGGAGCGCTCCCCCAAAAACCCCGTCCCGGCGGGAGGGACCGGGCGGCAGCGCCGGGGAAGCCGCGGCCGCCGCAGGGAGCAGGTGGAAGGGCAGGTCCCCGCAGCCAAACCCAGCCCATCCCCGCCAACACGGGGCGGGGAGGGGGGCGATTTTTTTCCGCGGAGAGAGGGACCCGGAGGAGCGCGGGAGCGGCTGCGGCAGCGAGTGCGGGCAGGGCAGGGCAGGGCGGAGGGGACAGGGACGGGACTCACCGAGCTACGCGCGGCTGCTGCCCCCGCTGCCGTCCATGGGGGCGGCGGGGGGACGGGAGCCCGCTGCGGGCCAGAGCCGCCCCGCGATCCGCCGCATCTGCCCGCCGCCGCCGCGGAGGAGGAGGAGGAGGAGAAGGAGGAGGAGGAGGAAGAGCAGCCCGCCCGCCCCGGCCCCCGCACAGCCCGGCCGCAGAGCGCCGCCTGCCCGCAGCGCTGGGAGGGTCCGCGGCCGCGGGGGGAGCCCGGCCGGGGGCAGGTGCGGCCGCCCGGGGCGGCGGTGCGGGGATGGGCCGGGAGGCTGTGCGGGATGGGCCGGGAGGCTGTGCGGGGATGGGCCGGGAGGCTGTGCGGGGCGGGGGCGGCCCGGGGCGGCGCGGAAAAGGGTGGAGGGCGAGAGGAGGGCGATGGAAGCGCCTGTGCGTAACGTGGCCCGGCGAGAATCCGCCCCGCGAGGGCTTTTAATGAAGTACAGATGTTCCCTAATATAATTATGTCGTCCTCGCCCCGATAATTGGCTTTGGCAGCCGCGCTGATCGAATCCCCCCCGTCCCCAACCTGCGTGGATGCTGTGCCCCCCTCCCCCGACACTGCCCTGGGGACCCCTCTCCAGGTGTCCCCCGCATGTCCAGCGCCCCTCTCCCGAGAACCCCGCGTTTAGGGACCTGCGATTGCGGTGGATGCTTTTGGCTCCCAGCAGGTGAAAACTGAGGGGCAGCGTTTATTTGCTTGTTTCTTAAAGTGCGTGTCCTTAGAAAGCACGGGCTTGCTTTCTAAGCGGGCTGCTCGCAGGCAGGGAGGACAGAACGCCCCGGTTACATAAATGAAAGTTTATGGCACACGTTGGGAAAGGGCCATGTTATTGAGCAGGAGCACAGCACTGCTTTAGGGTGGCAGCAGAGGGTGTCCTGGCTGGCTGAGCAGGATCAGCACACCCTGTGCAGCTCCCTCGCTGTACCTGGGCTCTCAATGAGCCAGGTGAGTTGCAGCAGGTTAAAACACCCCGGTTCTCCCCAGCCTGGTTTGTCTTTAGGGAAATTGCCAGCGAGGACACGCTAATACAAGCCAGGTGTGTGGGTGTTTTATGCATCTATGTGGGGAAAATGGATCAAGCCCACAAATTCATCTTGCAGAGGACAGGCAGCCAACACGAGGTAATGATTTCTAGTCACTACAGGCCCCAGACCACACTGCTTTCACCCGATGACTCAATGCTGAAACCCAGCCATGCCATTCCTGCTGACACTTGGACACTGTGAGGAGTGTAAATACTTCAGATAAGCAGGATTAGGGAATTCTCCTAGCCCAGGGCTGCAAAGGGGAGCCACAGGAGCCTGCACATCTGTACCTCTCTAATGTCAGCTAAGGCAGCGTCTAAGGGGTTGGGCATTTTTGCGTGTTAACACAAAATGCAGGTTGGAAATCAGCTTCCCCCACCCCCAAAAGAGACCACATCCTACCCACTCCTTTTGCACAGTCCAGGTTTTAACCACCAGATTTATCAACTTTTAAAGTGAAGACAAACAATTACAGTCCTTTCAAGCAATTACCAACTTTTCAGCACAAGCCCACAAGGACAGTCACGCTCCCATTTTATATTTACCAGTGGCAACAAGGTGACACCTCTGGACTGAGAATCATTTTGTACCTGTATGAAGGGTACAGGGGTGGCTCTACCCAAAGACTGGGGCTACATCAGTGTTAACTCTGGCCTCAGCACCAGGAGCTCTGCCTTTGCCTCAGCAAGAACAATGAAATGCTCCTTGTTTTTACAACTGTACTCTGCAGATTTCTAAGGGACCCAAGCAGACAGGGGGTTTCACAAGCTGTGCAGGGCAGGGAGTATCCTTGGTTTGCCTTAAAACTGGGCCCCTTTGGGGTTTTGCTCACCCTCTAATGCCCCCATGGCTGCTCAGATGACACAATCACAGAGATATAAGTGATGCCATGTCTTCCAGCCACTATTTTTCATGTTGTTCTTGATTCAGCTGTGATCCCCAGAGAGTAAAGGCATGGGGAAGGTGTAATGTCAGAGGCATCTGTGGGCATTCCCTGAGCACAGATGCCTCTGCAGCTGATGGCTTAGGAGGCAGGATGGGGATGAAGAAACTAAGAATATCCTTTCGTCCAGTTTAACTTCAACCATAGTAGAATCTTTTCTTAAGAGGATATAAATACTGAAGGGGTGAGGGAGGCAGAAAATCAATACAGTCTGGAACAATGTGACTTGAACCAGAGGACAAACAGCCTGACAGATTGACTGCAATTTCTCTCTTAAGGTCTTTTTTCGAAATGTTAAATTTTTTACTTTAAAAACCAGCCCATCATAATTACAGGCTCTCACTTAAGACTTCCCAATCTTCCTCTAAAACCAACATAGAAATAACCTCATAGAACCTCATAGTTTAGTTTTCCCTCAAGGGCAGATGAAGGAGAACATTCACCCTTAATGCAGGAGTTCTCCTCCAGCTTGAGAGCTCTTGAGTGAAGATACAAGTAAAACTCACATGCTTACCTTACTGGCATCTTTGTTTTTCTTATGCTTCATGGACCTTTCAGCAGGAATCTTCTTCTCTCCTCAGGTCTACAGATCAGTACTTTTCAGCTGCCTCTCATTGACTCTGCTTTTCTACCATCTTTCCAGGTGTGAAGCTGATAAGTGTGCGATTTCCAAGGACCAGCTTTGTCAAAGAGAGGAGGAACAGTGCATTCACTCCTCTCTGACCTCTCTTATATTTCCCATTCTCCACCCGTTATTAAAGGTAGATGGTTCAGAGCTGGCTTCAACTTGTTCCTTAGATATTCCAGGGTAATATTCCTCAGGCTTTGCCATTTTCAGCGTACCTTTTGTTTCTGTGCCCCTCTGCAAGTAGGTACTTGCTGTTTCCTGAAGTTATTTTCCTAGAAGCAGAAAACAGGGGAGTTTAGTGTAAAATTCAAGGACTAACTAGTCAATCGTTGATTTCGTTCTTTATTTCATCCCATTTTAAGAATAAATGGTTTCTTAAAAGAAACAAGGTAACATAACTGTTTGATCCTGAGCAAATAAGAACAAGGCCTCTCTACCCCCCTGAGATAAGGCACCTGTCCAACATTTTATTAACTTTGCTAATTGCATTAAGCATCCTGCAGTGCTGAACAGTCATCAGCTGCTAATTCCCATATCTCTATAGTTGAGCTGAGTCTTAAATGAGAAAAATTCATAGCAGGGAAAAAAAAAAAAGGCATTTTAGACCCACAGTAGTAACCAAATTATCATACAGTTCTGAATGCTGATCAGGTCCCAGCAGTGATCATATTTTACCAGCTACTGGAAGATGATGTTGGGACTCACACAATAAATAGGAGCTATGTGGGTCCAAGTGAGATTGATTAATAGATCTTACATGTTCAGACATTTCTACAAACAAGAAAAATTAGGTTTCCATATGTGAATATTTTATGCAGATTTTCATGCAGATAATTTGTACCTGCTCTTTCATTTTGTTACCTTTAGTACTACATGTTAATGTAATAATAATCTAAATTTACATACACAAATTACTGGAAGGTCTGGATCTGGCACATTAGGGAGTAATTTCTGGCTGGAAACATTAGCAGTGTGATAACTATTTAGACAACTATATGAAATGAAATAAGCACTTGTCAAAGGAAAAATGCATTATTATTAAAACTGGAATTGGTATCATCTCAACTAAAAATGTAACCTGTGAAAAAGAAAAGAGTTAATTAGAAATTCTCTCCTGCCACTCTCCTGCCTTACTGCTTTTCCTGTTTCTTTCCTGCCTTTCCTGGGGTGAAATCCTGCCCCCACCCCAGGAGCAGAGAGCTGGGGAGGCAGAAGCAGCTGTACCTGGAAAAGCAGTAAATCACAGCTCAAAGGGGAGGGTTGGCAGGATCCTCCCTGCAGGGACCAAACATGCCTGTGCCAGAGGGGGGCCCTGCCCAGGGCTGTGTGTGACCCACACACAGGGACTGGTGGTGCACACACAGTAGGTTTGGCACGGGAAATGTTGGCCTTTAATTTTGGTCCTGACAGCAGTCAAGACCTGAATTCTGCTCTGCACTAACAGGAGAAGCAGCAAGGTTAGAGGGGACACATGGAAGAAGCTGCAGCTGTCCTGCAGTCACTGTCAGACCGTGGTTTCCAGCTGACATGTATCCACATTTTCCATTTTTAAGCACAAGGGCATTTTGACCGTAGTTTTGGGAAAGTAATATTATTTCTGTCTTTCGTTATTTGTTCACCAGGGAACCCATTCTACAGCCAACCAGAAGAGAACTGTATGGAAGGAAGCAGGAAAAAAAAAAAAAAGAGAGAAAAGAAAGAAAAAGCCAGTCAAGCTACTGCTAATCATATTAATTTATATATGTTGTTTATAATTAGCCTGTTTAAACATTCATTTTCTTTCTTCAATGAAGACCACATCTCTCCAGGACCCTGGCCATGTCCATTGTCTTTGTGACAGACAGTAGAGATAGGTACCAATTACTTGGCTGTTATTTAGTGAGTGCTCCAAAGTACTTTGATGCAGCAGCATTGTAAATTCTCAGTAGCAGCTAATTGTCTCATTTTAATTCATTTTTAATGAGACACCTGGGAGAGCGAAGAAACATCACAAAACCACAAAAACCCCAGAATATTTTTTTGAGTTGGTCTGCCAGTCTCTCCTCATTTCTGCCTTCCTACAAAAGGACATTTTGGTACAAGCACACAAAGGTGCAGCCCCTTGGCTTCACCCAGCTGGGTGACAGCATCATTCCCTGACACATCATAGCCTGCTCCCACGGGCAAGGGAGGACAATGGTAGAATCTAGGGAACACCATGGCAGGAATCCAGAAAGAAGCCAACTCTGGACCTCAGACATTCCACATCTTCATCACTTCTGTCTCTCTAGACAGCCAAACCACATTTCCACAGTTGCCAGTAGGCTGTAAAAGGAAGGGTTGTCACTCACCATCATTTGACATTTAGATGTGGTTCTCAGATAGAAAGAAAAAAAGGTGGCAAAGGGGTATATTTGCTTCATCAGCAGCTGACTCAGTCCATACCTTTTTGTGAAAGGAAAGGTGTCCTCTGCCAGTCCCCAGCTTGGTTTCCTTAGTTAACACAGACACACCCCCTCTTGGTTCTCACTCACATGGTTTAGTGCTACACTCTGTGTAGCATCTTCAGCATCTAGATTTC